AGCTGAGGCTGGGTACTCAGCACCGATAGCTCTTTCGCTATCTCCACGATCCTTTTGGCCGGGAGTGGGTCCTTGCCCGGAATCATCTTCATGGCACCCTCCTTGTTGTCCCACTTCTGGTACTTGAAGCCATGATTGGGGTCGTAGAGGTCGAGGTCTTCTGCCTGCGCTTGGGCTTCTTGATCGTCCAACACCTTTTGGGCCCTCTGCGCCAGCATCGACATGAGCTTCTGCCAGAGGATGGTGCGCATGGGAAGTGTGATGGACTCGGCATTGTTCTGCTTGAGGTCGTACCAAGCCTGGGCAGTGCTGTAGAGCTCCGGGATGATCGTGCGTGGTTGTTGTGTCGTCAGGAAGAGAACCCACGTGGTGGACTGTTGGAGTATCGAGAGGGCATCTTCGTGCCTCATGAGGAGGCGTGCCATGGTGTGGCACATGGATTGGAGATGCTGGATCTCAGACTCGGAAGAAGGCGCGTATCCCTGACGCCCCCAGGATCGGGGTGGCTGCTGGGGAGGCTGTGGCCTGCCGTACCGGCGCGTGGGAGCGGGTTGTCGATTTTGCGACTGTTGAGGGGCTTGCACCATCTGGGATCCGCGGCCCGAGTGGCCTTTGCCCTTGCCTTGGCTGGTGCCACCCTTGAAGTTCTCGCGTTGCCACTTGGCTGGGCGCTCCTCTTGGTTGTTGTCTGAGTTGCTGACTCCCAGCATGGGCATTGCTCCCTGCCCCAGCTCCCCCTCCGGTGCCGGTAGTGGGCTCATCGGCATCGACGCCCGGCCCAGAGGAGTGGCCACCGTCAATTTTCTCTGGTCGACCAGTTTCATCTGCGCGTTGATGGCATCCAGCTCCTTGGTGGCTTCGTGAAGGTCCTCCGGGTTGATGGGCTCGGGCTGGAGGATCGCCATCGGTAGCAGGAAGGATCGACTGTGAGTCAGGTACCTGAGAGAGCGGGGCAGCAGCGTGGGCTGCTTTGAGGAGATGGACAAGAAATAGCACACTGCATTCAGTAGCATGCTTGATCGGGGCACCGCTCAACTGGAGGAGGCAGTAGCGGCACGTCTTGCCTAAGGCTAAAAGTCTGCGGTGATCCTGCATTCGGTGTACCGCCTCAGCACAGTGCACGTACAGAGGGGCGTGTTTCGCCTTAATGTGGGCACGGAGTCCACGTGGTTGCAGCAACCACTGATGGCAGAACGGACAATAATGCTGGGCTTGTGGGCGGTGTAGCTTTATCCACGAGGCAACACGCTCCCAGTCTTCGGCTAGCATCAACTGAAGCTCAGGCTGGTGGAAAAGCGGCCTTGGATTCAGGTTGAGCTTGGCTGGGAGCTCTGTGTATCCATCCGGGGCCAGGACGCTGCATGCCTTCGTCGTAATATGCACCCTGAGATCGTACCAAGTGTTACATTTACGCAAGCAATGCCGGCATTGGCTAAGACCCTCCCTTCCGTGGAGCCATAGGAAGCGGCCACGTTCATCAGCCGGGAACGGCACATGCTGTTCCGGAGAAGGGACGAGGAAGAGGTGCTTTTGCGCAGGATCCTGTGTGCCAGCCGGAGATGTAGCCAGCTGCAGTGCAGGCTCAGGCTTGGCCTCGGACGTCGAGGTGATCGCTTCTGTGGGTCCTGCTTGTCGTACCTGCAATTGGTGGGACTTGGAAACATGGAGCCGGACAGCCTGTAGGGACGGAAAAAGCACGCCACAAACAGGGCAGTGGAGTGGTCTATAGCTGGCCGCACTGCTAGCAGGTACGAGGTGTACACGGGTCATTGAGGAGCTGGTTTGAGGGTGTGCGGACAGGTCTAGAGAATCTGCTCCCTGACGGGGGTGCGGTGATGGTTCGGCCCAGTATTCCACTAGTTGATCATGCCAGGCCTCCAATGCAGGTGTGGGGAAACAGGGCGTCTTCTGCAGATGTCGTTGCGTCATCTGCTCCAGCACCTGTAGCGGGTCCTGCAGTTGACTTCGCTGACACAGCTCACGAGAGGAGATTTTGGTGATGTGTGCAGGGAGCTTGAGGATGAGGCGAAGTTGTTTGTGGACGAACTGAGCAACAAGGAGTCTGGCCTGCACAGGGACACCAGTGACGGCGAGAGAGTAAGTCAGGACCGGGAGTACACAAGTACGCCAGATTCTGAGTTTGCTGGCAAGAGTGAGGGCTCTGTTGCGAAGGACCTTGCTAAGGCGCCAGTATGTTTGCCATCCTAGGTCAAGGCGATACTGGAGATTGGCGAGCTCGTGGCCAGCATAGCAGACCTTCGCCCCAAGGTAGGTGTGGGTCTGGACAACCTTAATTGGGAAGGTTCTGGCGCCTACTCTGATTCGCAGGGCTGCTTCTCCCGTGTCAAGTTTGGTAAGCTTGGCCTTCAAGGTGCTGCGCGCAGCGGTGCCCTGAAGAGCATAAAGCATGACGGTTTTGGTGGGGGAAACTCGTAATCCAGCCTCTTCGAGAATCTGGATGAGAGTTCCTGCAGCACGCAAGCTAGCTTTGAATTGCTCCTGTGAGTGTATCAGCCACGAAGTCCACACGTCATCAGCATATAATGTGGGCTCCCCCGCCGGCTCGCGGCGCTCTTGCGTCGTGCGGAGGTAGACCTGATAGAGTCTGGATGTCGCCAGGGACCAAAGCAATGGCGATAAGCCGCACCCTTGCCGGATACCCTGCTGTAAGGGCAGGTCCGTTTCCTGGTCTGAGATTTGGAAATGTAGCCTTGCCGCTTCATGGATGTGCACGGCCAGAGCTATTTCCTCAGAGGTGAGGGCCGCTTCCTGCATTGCCAGCACCAGCTGGTCTCGGGGCAGCGAATCGAAGGCCTTATCAATATCTAGGCTTAGCGAGAGGCCGCCTGCAATGGTCTGTGGAGTTTCTCCTGCCTTGCGGCGATGAGCATTGGGGAGAGCCCCTGAGGCTGCCTTTCGGGCCTCCGCAAGATGACTGCATACTCGGCCGATTGCATCATCCGTGCTGCGATGCGTGATGTATGCGAACTGCGGGGCTCGACGAATGTAGGTCTCCGCGCGGTCGCGGATTCTGTCTGCCAGCATCATCGCGAGTACCTTACTCCCAGGGGGGAGAAGACAGATTGGGCGAAGCTGCTTCGGGGTGCGAGCCATGGCAACCTTAGGGATGAGACAGACATGGACCTGGTGCCATTTCGAGGGCAGGGCATAATGTGGCGGCTGAAGATCCTCCTCTAGGCCCCGGGCCAGACAAAGGCCTGCCGGCTCCGCCGCGAGTCTCCACAGAGGGGCCGGAGCGTACTCCGGTGGAAGTGCCTTACTGGCAGGCAGCCTGGCGAGGGCTTGCTGCACTTCAAGTGGGTCAAAGGAGAGCGCAGATTGCGGGACTGGGGCCTGCAGGGCAGTGGTTCGCTGCCCGTAGATGGATCTGAAATGAGCCGCAATTGCCTGTAACTCGCCAGTGGGGGACATGAGTTGTCCCTCAGCGTCTCTGAGTTGGATGCGGCAGTGCCTCTGTTTGGGGGCCAGGAGGCGGACCGCCCTGTACAGGGAGGAAGGCGAGGCAGTGCTTTCGGCCTGTTGCAAGATGGAATCCACACGCTCCTGCTTTCGTTGTCGGCTCCTTTTCCTGAGCTCGTTCTGAAGGTTGCGAACCGATTGGCGGAGTTGGAGTGCTTGGGATCTCTGGGCAAATGTGGTGGTCGGTTGTTGTTTAAGGAGGTGCTTGAGGTGCCAGAGTTGTTTAATACTCGTTTCCGGGAGGGAGGGTTCTGCGACCTCTGGTCGTGGGTGGTCGAGCTGGATGCCGAGTGTTTCCACCACATCCTCCCAGGCCCTTGTAAGATGCGCATTCAGGTGGTCACATGGGTCCTCCCCCGGCCGGCACGGATGGAGTTTGAGGCGGCACTCGACGACATGGCTGTATTTCTGAGAGAGCTCCGGGCACTGTCCCAGCACGGTATTGATCGCAGTGAGGGTCCATTTCTTTGGCCCCGGGGTGTTTCTAGGAAGAAGTCGGCGGTGCGGCCAAGGCATGGTAGCAGTCAGTGGGAGATGACGATTGCCAGTTGTGGGGACGAATGGAACATGTTGAAGTGGCCTGGCAGTTTTGGTGATTCTATCAGATTGATGGGCCCGGCAGAGAATGAAATCAATTCTTGTCTTGATTGTCTTAGGGCCTGACCCGGAGAGGTACGTGGCAGCAGCAGCGGTCCTGCCGAAGCTGCTCACCGCAGCCAGGGAGTGATCCCGCAAGAGGCTCTGCAGACGCCCGTGGTCCTTCTGTGTCGGGGCACTCCGGTCCAATCTGACAGCCGCTCGTACCAGGTGGGGCCGGTCCTCCAGTGCTAAGCAGGGCGTGTTGAAGTCGCCTGCTATCACCAGCTGGTGACGCTGAGCAATGCTGCCTACGAGGCGGTGGAGCTGAGTCCACAGCTGTTCTCTGACCTCTAGGAGCTTGTCCTGAGTGGGGGTTTGGGTCGAGTTGGTGGACCAACAGTGCTGGTAGACAGTTATGAGCGAAATCGGCTCAGTGGCCAGGCGCGTGTGGACCAGTCGGCCTGGGACCACATGTGCTGTTCTCACCTGTTGCGTGCTCACAAAGTCCTGACGTAGAATTTGTAGGATGCCGGCACTGCGGGTGGGCTTCTCAAGGGAACTGTGGATAAGCCAGTGACCTTGGGATTGCCATTCACTGGTGAAAGACCAATGGGTCTCCTGGACGGTCATTATGTGCACCGGGCGTCCCTGCA